CCAACGCTAAATTTATTGCCAACAAAATAAGCATCGAGTTCGGTTCGGTGACGTCACATGTTGCTACAGGATGTTGAGCATCGAATTGTTTGTCCCGGGTAAATTGTTTGCCTAGTGACGGCAGTCGTAATGGAGGACGCGGGAAAGGTGGGTGTGCAAACGAAACGAGCCAAACGCAGAAGTGTATTTACTGAATCTGATAAGAAAAGGAAGCGTCAACGTTCGCAAAGGTTGTATGGAATATCAAGAATAAATATCCATGCTCAAATCGAGAGATGGGCAGCAGCAAAGAATTAGCCCATTGATGTGAAGTCAGATGCGGAGGTAGCACAACACCTGTTGGACATGTAAGTTTGTGATTGAATACTATAATAGCTAGGATAGGAATAGACCTATGGCTATGCTTATACTACAGAATACTACAGAATAGGCCTATGTTTCGATTTCGCCTGCGGCAGCGATCCGCGGGCTATAGTACTAGAGCTAGCCTGAACCTAGCTCTCTCGGGTACATTTGCCGCAGGCGAACTCTACGCGGCCTGCGGCAACGGTACTAGAGCTAAGCCCAACCAGTCTCTACAATTGTTTCACGTATATATGTACTATGTAGGATAGTAGCAACGTAGTGAGGCTCCTGATGGGTACCCCAAATCTCAATTAACAGTATATTTCTGGCCCTTTTCTCATTTTTCATTAAATATTTCTATTTCTTACTAAATTTTGTAAGTTATATATAGTACCACACAGTACCAAAGCCTAAATATGTGACAGCCCTAACCTTATATTTATGAGATCTTAGTACTGTTATGACTGGTCCTCATTTCATTTGCTCATTGCCTTCAATGTAGTAAGCTTGTGAGTATAAATATCTCGGCCCAAGGATAGAGAACATGGGTCCCAATAAAACCAATGTGCCTATACCTTAACCCTAACCCTAATCCTAATCCTAATTCTAACCCTGACCCTAACCCTAATCCTAACCCTAACCCTAACCCTAACCTATTATATTGATATAATATTATATTTATATTGATGTAAATGACATTGGTTTTATTGGGACCCATATGTTCTCTATCCTTGAACCGATATCTCAATAGACATATGTCGAGACGAGGACCAGTCTACGATGGATGACAGTGTGTGAAAATGGTGAACCAAGCCAAATGGATTTTTGATCAAAATCAATGTAAAATAATTTCACGCTAAATGCTAAATAAAATATAACAGTTCATGGTAAATAAACAGATGCTTTCAGGATAACTCTAATTTCTAGCAGGGTATCACAAGTCACTCCAATAAAAATATCACGTCTGACGCTAAAATAAAATCGATTTTCTCGCTAACGTTAAAAAGTACGACCATTTCACAGACTCACGCTAAACCCCATCGGGACCTTCTTACTTGTGGCTAATGTATTCCTATAATAGTCTATATATGCGTGGTAGCCAAATTATGCTTGGATGTTGCAAACAATGTAATTAGCAAGTTGACTAGACTCATGATTAGGCTCATATGTTTGTGTAAATTACTGTTGAGTGACCTTTTTTGCATTGTCATGCTCTAGTCTGCAGAGTTGATAATATTTCCGTATATATATTGTATCGTGTACTACTATCTCTACATCAGTTTTTATATTTGGAGTAATATTACCCATTGTTTATCAAATGTTCAGATTCTATGAACGACAGTCAGCTGTTGGCGTTGCGTCAACAAGCTCTTTTCAAGGAGTACTGACTTCGACACCCATGGGTGCCGGACAGTTGGGGCGGTTTCCCGCTGCGACCACTGCACTCTCGAATGTATCATCAATAGGCAAAGAAAGGTATCACATATTATAAATAAGAATTTATGTCATAAGTTAACAATGTTATTCATTTGTTATTGGTTTGCTAAGTTGGTTGTCAGAACGAGTAATATTATCCATTGTTTGTCAAATGTAATGACACGAAGGCGAGCGAAACGAAGCGAACATTTCAGTTTGAAGAGCAATGCCTTCTTTTCAAGCTCGCTTTGATCAGACTTATATGAAGTGCCGACTTTCATATCCTATTGATATATATTTCATATCTAACCCCTCTTCATATATATTTCATATCTAACATATATATATTTCTTCATATATATTTCATATCAATCCGCCCCCCCCCCATAACTCTTTTATATCACGATATTAATGATATTAAAGTTTGGAACGCGTTAGCCCATCAACATCAACCATTCTACAGCTGTCATCTGCTAGTTATCTGTACTATCCCACGCTGCCAAGAATAGATATTTCACCTAGCTACATACATACCTTACATAATGCAAGCGTTTGTTGACATATAGCTTAGTGACAGCAGGCAATGGGTGTGTTTGTGCACTGCAGTGGTAACCTGGTTTCTCACAATTGCTCAAGTTGCATGGAGCATTTGACCAATTTAGTGGTGTCAATTAGTCATGGATATGTCACAGTAAGTACTAACAGTAGATGTTTCACATGCGTTCACCCATTTTGCACACAGGCGGTCGATCATTGTGAAAAATAGAGAAACACTGATTTATCCATTTCGATTTCTAACAGCAGACAATGTATAAATGGATATTACAACTCGGAATAATTCAATGGTAACATATTGCTTTAAAACGCATGTCAGGGATTGTTATTAAGTGCCGTATTTCATTAGTTATTTCACTTTATTAGCTACAATTTTTAATTTAAACGTGCGACTTGAATTTTAGGCAGTTTTTTTCATTTCTCTCGGTAAATTTGAAACTTAAAGATAAATCTTGATGTGCTTTTTTGGTACATATTGTGCTTAACATGTAGCTTAAAATTATGTATCCTCACTCTTTCTGGAAATTGAGATATATCCACAATTCCATTTTTACATAAAAACTCAACTGTGTGTTAACATAATTAGGTGCTGGAAATTTCATGAATTCTTTTGGCTTGAGCATAGAGATATCTCATCTATACAAAAAAACAAGTAATTGATTCGATTCGTTTGTCAATAAACGTTTAATCTTTATTAGAGCAATACCCGTGAAAAGGGTTGAGAGTACTTATATCCTTCATGGTGAATGAGTGTTGTTCTTTTAATTTACAGCAATGAGGGAAGCGTTTCTGGTGTTGAGCCTATAATGGAAAGTGGTAGTGAGACTGCAATTAGGTGAGTGAAAAAGACATGAACTAGTGAGAAAAGGTACATGAACTATGTCAGTCTTCCAGACTGATCATTTAGCGCCCATTATATATAATTGGTGTGTATGTTTCCACCAGTGTTGTAGTCGAGTCCGCACCCCCCGAGTCCGAGTCCACACCACCCGAGTCCGCGTCCGAGTCCGAGTCCAGTTTTGACAAAAAAGGGGGGCACAGACTGACAAGGCCACTCACTTCTATCAAAGATCATGTACAATTGTACATGATCTTTGCTTCTATATATGTGAATGTTCAAAAATGGGGGGGGGGTGACGTCTGCCCCCTGGATCTGTCACTTGTTTGCATGAAATACAAAGTACAGTAAAACTTGCATAAATCGACACTTTTGGGATCATCATTTTGTCGATTTATACAATGTATGTAATGCGCGTATACACTGTATTAGCTGTGTGTGTGTGTGTGTGCGTGCGTGCGTGCGTGTGTGCGTGTGTGTCAGTGTTGTAGTCGAGTCCGCACCCCCCGAATCCGAGTCCGAGTCTGAGTCATTATCCTCCGAGGCCAAGACCGAGACCGAGACCAAGGAAAACGGTCTCGAGGCCGGTCTCGAAGCCAAGACCGGCCTCGAGACTTACAACACTGGTTTCTACCTGCATTGCTCGCAACATGGCTTTCCTTTTTTCATTCATTTCACAGATATGCTACATATCAGCATATACCAACTAATTCAAGTAACATCATGGGTTAATAATGACAAATTGTCATTATTAACCCCTGGTAACATGTATACTTTGTCACTTGCAGCAGTGAGCGTACAATATCCGCTGTGGAGACATTGGTTGGATCTGCAGTGGAGTCCAGTGAGAAGAGGTAAATATTTGTGAGATGACCTTCCCATCAGCCATTGCAATTTGTAAACATACTTTCCCAGTTGATTTGTATCTATATCTTTTTTTTCAAATATCTTGCAATTCCATTTCTATTTATTTCTAATTGAACCTTAATTATACTTCCTGATTATACATTTTTCAGACCCCAGCCATCTGAAACGCTTACAATCACTCAGAGTGGCAGAGTTGTGGAACAGAGAAAACTTTCCTCGTCATTTGCGGATCCATTCAAGTAAGCCTACCGTCTACACCACTGCAATTGTTTTTGCAAGCACCCGAACTGCAGTACTTCTTGTTACAGTTTCTTCTTGAGATGTACCTCGTTTTTATTGGCAATATACATGTTTGCTCTTATTATTTTATGTTTCTTTGCAATCTTCCTTTACAGTCTGTCAGTGGACATCTCTCAGTTATCTGAAGAAGACAATGAGGATCAGTATGACTCGGACTATGAGCCTAGTTTCGCAATGTCAGCTGTGCTGTAAGTTTCGTCTTTGCATATATGTTTCTGTATGAATCATTTTTGCCTATCAACTCCTTTATGCGAATGCAGTACGTAGCTACAACACGTAATCTCAGTATTGTACCCTTTTATGCAAACCCTCATGCCACTAAGGCAGGTTAGGAGGCTGTTATATTTAATCAGCAGTGTATAATTTAGTTAGCATAACATTACCCGTTTTGAACTTTTCAGACCGGACGAAGTAAATGTAGCGACGACAGCCCTGGCGTTTGAAGAAGTTGAATTCGGGATGGAGGTGCCGGAGGGAGATGCAGAAGAGAGCGATGCACCAGAAGAAATTGGTCCGGGTATCGACCGGATTAAGACAGCCTCCGACTGTTTTCGGCTGACGGATGATGTCGTATGTCTGGCATTTCTTGCACAGATCAAGACACTGGCTGTCACAAATGTGACACATTGCACTCAGTGTGCAAGCCGTGTGAGCATTGAAGAGGAGTTCGTTGGCTCAGCATTGTACCTTAAATGGGTACGGCAAAGTATTTTAATATTATTTTTAATATAATTAATATAAATTACGAGTTTACCTGATTTGCATTTAATTTTTAATTTCATCTATATTCTGGTGTTGATATGTGCTAAAGAGCGCATAAAGTGATGAAAAATGTTTGGTGTTAATGATAAATGATGTATTCAAAAATATTATTTCTTATCAATATTATACTAGCTCAGAAACGCGAACCCGTATTGCACTTTTTTCCACAACATACAGGCATCATACATGGTACCAACCATTGATGACTTTTGGACAAATCACCAGCAGGAGATCCTCACAGAGATGAAGGACAAGAGTCTCATTGTACTGGGTATGCACTATTCATTCACTATTGTGCATGTTACAATTTTAAGCATACAGTTATATCTGTCTAATGGAATTGTTCTTTACATACTAGTAACATTGCTAATGTTTGCTGTCTTTCATGTTTTCTGTAAGGTGCGGCAGACAGGTAATTGAACTTCTAATTGTAGGTGATGGTCGGATGGATTCTCCTGGCTTCTCAGCGCAGTATTGCACATACACTTTCATGGAAAATGAATCCCATAAAATTCTAACCCTGCGAACTTTAGACAAGAGGACAACGGAAAGGAAATCTGTTAACATGGAGAAGATGGGGTTTAACAGTGCACTTCAGGAACTGTTAGAGAAAGAACTGAAGGTTGACGAGGTTGTGACAGATGCACATATGGCTATAGGAGCATGCATGAGTAAGTTTGAAGCAAGAAAGCCTTTTGTACTTTGCAGACTTCCTTAGGGACATACAGCTTAGCTTCATGATATGATAACAATTCTTTCAATACAATTTATACGTGTTGGGCACATGTCCGTGTATTTTCGAAGACAGAACAATTGAGTAAGCTCTCACATGTTTGCAGAAATGCACGACCGTTGTGTAAGAGTGGTTGTATGATTTAATCAAATAGGTATGAATTGAACCGTTAAAATATGTTCTTAAATTCAATATCTTGAAACATTTTAAGCAAAACTTCATCTCTTTTTGCCTATATTTCAGGAACCAAGTATCCTGAGATCAAACATTCCAATGACGTGTGGCATGTGGCGAAAAATTTGGGCAAGAAGATCTTGGCGGTATGTGTTATTATATGCAGAACTGCAAGTCCATACACAAGTCAGGCATGCATTAATGCTTTCAATGTGTACGTCATGCTTTTCTCGGGTATGAAACTAACTCAACTGATGCTGTGTCTGGGTTTGTGAATTTGCTAAGCCTTTGTTTAATTCATGAATTATAGGCTGGACAACAAAAGGGATGTGCTGCACTGCAAGAATGGAGCAAAGACATAGTGAACCATTTCTGGTTTGTTTGTCAAACTGCACAAAGCTATGACGAATTTGTGGTTAGTTTACCTATGCATCTCCACCCTATGTCGCATGGAATAGATATTTCTGTTAATAAAATTATTAGGTGATGTTTAGGAATCTTGCAGCGTTTGGCTTCAAACGAGTTCCACCGCTGATTGAACTACATTGATAAACGCTAAAATGACGTTAACACAGGTTACAACTGATTGCAGTGCATATGGAGCGGCGTGCTGCACCACGTTGTTAATGAGCACGAGTGGATTATGGCCCATGGACAAGGACTAAACAGGTGCTGCCATGGACCACTTGATGATGGAAGAACTAAGCCGTGGCTTGACAAGGAAACGGACAGTGAAGCAATGTCAGCACTCAGAAAAATTGTTCTGGACAAGCGCTTTCTCAAGAGAGTCGACTATGTGATAAATTTCAGGTATTTTATTTCAAACCAAGATGCCTGTTGACACTGTCATGTACAATCATAAGCCTAATATACACAGGTACATTTTCGTGTGTATACTTGCCTCTAGCTAATATAAATTAAAAAATTTGTTTTATATGACTGCTTTACAGAAGTACAGCTTTGTTGGAGGTGTTCCACAATCACGTCCTGATGTACTGTGCCAAGCGCTTCGCGTACACACCTCCAGTGTACAGGGTACGGAACCTGTTGGCCGCCTTAGATCACAACGTACATGTGGAGAGGCCACTAATGAAGAATAAGGAAGGAAACGTTGTGTAAGCAGATGTTGTTGTGGAAGTTAGAAGCTTATCCAAATCTCGGCATACTTATTTCATTAGTAGCACTTCAAAAATAAATTCAGTTAAACCTCAATTTTATATGATGAACAGATTAAAATTGCTTTTTTTTGTTGCTGGGCTGTTAGTATGGAATCCCATGAAGGTGTTTATATGTCAACGTCACTTTGCGGGAATGGATGTCTATTAGTATTTCTGTGAGAGTATTGTATAGCACTTTGCCACAGCATATATGAGATAGAACTTGAATTGATGAATATTCAATAACATATCATATTGTTTATATATATATCATTTAATTCCACAATCAGATACCAAAGGTGCTACAACAAAAAAAAGTGCGAGGTGGTCAGCCTACCCCGTCAAGAGAAAAAAACCTATCTCACATACCTGTCCTCATCAGACAGGCGCTGATACGTCGTATCCACGATAAAGTTGGCATGAAAGGCCCCGCGTATCTTGGAGGCTGATGATCCGCGAAGGATAGCCAACATCTGGCGCCCGTACCTCACCATCTACAGCACAACTTGTTGCTGAGAAGGTGTCAAGGTTTGAACCAAAGGTACGGTCGTAATTAGGTTAAAGCTAAGCGGTCGGGTAAAATCCGATGTACTGTCCAAACGCGTCTGGATACTTATCTCTAATGGCCCATACACAACATGAAGTATAACCATTCGCTGGCGGCACCCAGACGGCCATGTTGCCACAATATGAATTGGCGGTATGCAGCAAGGAGAGTTTAAGTTGGCCGGTTTGCTTTCCGGACGTCTGCATCCTCTGCTAAAACGAGGACATCCTGTCTGTACATTCTCGCTATGGCTAGGACAGCCTCATCTAGTATGATAATTGAAAAATCCTGGAAAACAAAAATGAGAGATTACCTGTACGCGACACCGTAGCTATTCAGACCAGAAGTGCAACAAACAAAAATTCGTAACTAAAACTGCGCTCGTTCCACCACACATCAGCCACGTGTTATTTTATGTGTTTTATGTACTTTCAATTGGCTTCTTCTTTATTCAGGAATAGCGGTCCAAAAGTCGTGGGATGGTAGCGTCGCCGTTCAATCCAGAGCAATCGGCTATGATGTTCTCAGTTCGTTGGAGGTTTCGAGGGAGTGTGTAAATTAGTAAAATTTATGTGGTATGGAGTTAGTTGATGAATTGTTGTGTATTTCAAGTCTTATGTTAGAGAACTGTCTACAAAATCATACTCAAGTAGCCATAGGTTACAAGGAGGCCATTAACGCATGTTATGCACTATGTAGCAAACGTCATTTAGTACATTAATTTCATATATACAGCATTACTATATATATGGTATATATAGTAATATATGTATATATATATATATGTTTGTAGTGTCAATTAAGTGTGAATTGTTAGGAAACCATGTCAAATCATTATATTTCGTAAATATAGATTTTCTATCAGAATGATGAATGATGAGTGTGATTCGTTAGGAAACACTACTATTACTGAATTCAATGCATTTGCGAAGAAACTGGATTGTAATTTTTTTGTTATAACACCGTGAAATAAAGTTGTGAAATGTGTGGCACGCATTTGTTTGTAAATGTTTACAATAAAGCTTTGAGTATATTGAGCCATAACTATTGCGTAATGGCAACCTTACCGGTAGTGTCGATAGACATTGCTCCCTGCCGCAGCATATCCTCTCGGCTTCTGTTGGCATTGTCCTGCACTTGGTGCACACACACCAGTCCGGAAGGGGGGAACCTCCTGGAGGGTGGTGGCCCCCTGGTTGCTGAGCTGGTGGGTCCAGGATGTTAAAAACCAACGATGGATGACTCTCAATCATTTGTAAAATAACATCTTGGATCCTTTCCATGGGCATTTGGGAAATTATGTTCTGAAATCATTAAAATATGGAAGGGAAATAATTAAAAGGGTCCTAAAGCAGCCTGCACTGTAATTAACATATAGAGTAACTCTTATTTTGGTGCTACTGTTCACTGCATTATGAAAGTGGTAACATTATGTCTGTCAATCATGCGATTTAATTTGCATTGTTAGTGATATAAAAGCTGTATATACTTTACCCTCATGGTTGCTCTCCGGTTTTCAACAGTGTGCAAGGTTTCCTCTGCACTCGTTAACTGCCTGGACAGAGCAGGCCTCCTACTACCTCTAGATCTGGGTCTTCTCGACCTCTCTCCTGCTCCGCTCCTCCGGCCCCTTCGACGTGGTGGCATTGTCGAGATGCGTATAACGACTAATGAGCTCGTAGAATGCATTTCTGAGTGTATTCTCAGTATCGAGGCACAAGTAAATACGCTTGGTTGCTAATGAACGGGTACCCACATATGTCTTCAATTTCGGACACAGGTGTATTCGTTTGACCAATATACGTAAATACGCGTAGTGCCGTCTGCTTCCCATGTTTAGTCTGTGGCCGTGGTTAGTTCGCGATCCCCACATAGTGTTGGCCCCCAACATGCACAGCCTACTTCATTATCACGAGCGTCCGTGATTAGTACGTGGATTCCACGTTCATTACAATCAGAGCTAGCGTAGGGCCTACTGTTACGTATACAGTTACGCCACTGTACTATCGCTAGCGTGCCAGCTGAGCGGCAGCGTGCCAGCAGCAAGAGCTTGCAATAACTGGAGATGATCTCACAGTGCGCAGAGATACTGTCTGAACGTAATAAACACGGACACTCGTGATAAAGTAAAATGACAAGGTAAGGATATAACGTTTTATCGGGGCTGTCCGTTTATAGTCCGTGCCCCGTGGGTGTCCGTCAGTTTTCGGACGTACGTTTATTAGTCGTGGCTTGTGTCACCGTCGTTTCCGTTCGCATGACATGACTTGTAGATTTCGGCACCATTTACGGGTTTTCCATGTTATAGTGATACGATGAAACTTTTGCTTCTAGGCCTTTAGGGAGTAAGATCCTAATTGGTCATTGGGTTCTGAATATCCTTTTCACATTATATATGGTGCTTGTAATTCAATCTCGTATATTCATTTTTCCGATGCAAGGGAGTATAAACTTACGTACGGGAATGCGCACTCAACCACAAGGTATCGAAATGCACTGACGGCGAGCATTTTACAGGTTTGCAGAAAAATGTCCGGTGCACTTAATCTGTCATTATATGACACCCGCTTCGCGGCAGTGACGGCCGGTCACTAGCCGGCAAGGGGGCGGTTAAAACTGGCTTAACAAAGGAAGCTTATTTGGACCGCGGGAGATTTCATTGGAGTATTTCTTAGTAACAGGCAGTGATATGGAAAAACTATACGCGATTGGGCGGATAACTATGGTAATGTACTTATTAATACATAATGGCGATGCCACTACTGTAGATATCGGTTAAAATTGCTAATCGATTGTCGTCTGCCTTTAAGTTAACAGAAGAAAAAGGATCGTTGCCTTGAGGTATATTTTCTAAATGATGTAAAACTGGGAAAAGGTATACTTACTCCCTTCATCATCCCTTTACTCTCTTATTGGCGAACATTGCCTTGGCATATTATTTCGAATGGTATTCTCTCAAAAGCTTATTTAATGTAAGTTTTAAATGTTTAATATGTGCACTGGCCAATACAATGCGAAGTTGACGCCTCATCTTACTTAAATTGTGGGAATTACTGTCTGGTGTCAGCATGGTCTGTGTGTCTCGGCGTATAATTATAAGTATCAAGATGTATGATAATAGAGGAATCTCCGCGTTCAAGGAATAGAGATGTGTCACAGTGACGTGATTGGAATAGGATGATGGTTTATTACTGACTTCTTGCCCCATGCCTCTTACCATGAGTGGTTGCTTCTCTGGCGATCTCCATTATTTACCGTGTTTAATAGTATAGTACGTTAACCGCCAACGGTCTCCACGGTAGCCGAACCAGGCTGGGTGACTAACGTCAAATATACAAATAACATATCACATTAATATCAAGGGTTGTGCTAGAACCTTAGCCAAAGACCGTTTCTGGAAGCTACGTCAACGGATCCTCTCAAGTCCGTGGGACATTATCTACATCTAACACGTTACATGGGCTATTATTAGGGGTGCAAGTGTGAGTTTCCCGAGCCCTACACGAGGATAGACTGTTCAAGAATGGTCTTTTTGATTCCAGTATTTCTAGGTTGTTTTTGATGACAAGAAGCTAAAAAAAGACAAGCAGCGTGGAGATTCACATGACGTTGCCGGCAGCAAACCAACTCTTACAGCGATATGCATGCTGGATCCATTACCGGAGTTTCCGCTGTAAAGGACAGCGCGTCAGATTCTGTCAAAATCCTGCGATAAAGACGTATGATATAGAGCTTTGGAACATGACGCGCTTTATATAGGAGACGCGCTTAAGACTGTATAGCTAAATTAAGAGAATTTTAGCACGATTGGCAACAATTGATACCTTCGCTAATTATACATGCTTGAAAAAACAACATTCGTGTGTCTTTCGTATTGTCATGGTTATTGCGGTTCCTTTTAATGTTAGATTTTGTGTGTAACTAATCATACATTTTAACATCAACTTTCTGAGGACAGAGATGGAAGAAGACTACAGCTACAAAGTCGATCATATTAAACTCCGTGAATATCGTAATGTGTGTAGTTCTTGGAACCGCAATGCGAGCTTACTGGCGCGGCGGCAGGTCCTTCAGCACTGCGCTAAGCAATGAGTGGTGTCAGGTCTTCATGCATGGTGTAGGCTAGGACCGGAGTTCGTGTCGAGGATTTCGAAAGACCTATCATTCACAGAGGTTACGCTAACCTCAAGGTAAAAGTTCTCATCTATTTGCGTATTTTAGATCCTGCTTATCTGCTTCGTCACTAAATAAATATTACAATTTCCCTTCAAATGATGTTGCGCCATATTAGATCCTCTCCGTATCAATTTTTTGGAACAAGTGTTTGACTTGAACTTTGCTAGCTCCAACCAGAAAATCCTTGGCATTTTTTTTCATTAGCTCTTCTACCACACTATTTGTGAGACCTATATATTATTTGAAGGGTTAGTATTTCCTGCAGAGTCGGACAGGAAATCTGTGTGTTTCATAGGTTGCTCTGCAAAGTTCCATCAGACAAAACCGCACGACAGGGCGAGGTCTCAATAATGAAGATAGTTGGAGGATCGCAGTGTTTTTCAGATAGTTACCGCCCTTAGGGTCATTTCAGCGGCGCGGGGTTTGATTTTAAGTGACCGCTCAGGCGGCACAACGACGAGTTCCGCAGACCCCCTCAAGAAAGCAATGAGTGGCCCAGCTACAGCTCAGACAGTGCGTTCTCATTCAATACTCAGTAAAGACTTGTTAACATTTTGTTGCAGGAGAGTTTTGTCACGACAAATACTTGATACTTGAAATAACGTGATGATTGCATATATTGAGGAGACTCAGAGTATAAACTTTAATAAAAAATACAGTAGTGCACTCGTAGGTGTTATTCTTAGTTGATTAATTTCTGGTATAGAAGTTGTCTAAGTTAGTGCGATTATAATTATTGTATAATTGAGTCGGCTAAAGGCTTGTTATACATATAACACTGTTCATCATTCCGAGTCGCTTGAGTCATGGTCCTCATTTAGTCTTTATTTAGTTAGTATATGCTTTTATAAATGGACACTAAGCAACGCAA